TGCAGGATTTGCATTAGTCCACTAGTTGGGTGATACTAACAACAACTACTCCTACGGACTATTCACCAGAAGTGTTAAAAAATACATTAATAGTCTATTGCATCAACAAACATGTTTCATATTTCTACGTTTCTTGTCATCAGAAAGATAACTCGCTACCATATTTAATACTTCTTCACCCACACATAATTGACGCATGGAAATAAAAATACCAACATTGAAAAGCAAAATGCTGTTTGATTTCAGGTTGTGACGTATCCGGATGGTACTAAGAAGACTGTAGTATCCACGGTAACAGTGACTTTAAAAGGAAATAGTAAGTGGAAGTAATAGTGAGAAAAACAACAACAACAACAACAACACCACAACCAACCAAACCAACAAACAAACAGAGGAACCACTAATTGTGTCGCGGTCGTGAACGAGTTACGGTTTGAGATCAATGTCATCTTGCCGTTCCTAGTGGGACTGTTATATTCGGCACAGAACAAAGATGAGAAGCCAGGCATATTGTCGCTAGCAGCGGTACAGTCCTACAAGGGACCAGATTTCTTATCTTTTCTACTGTGATGACATCTGAATCAATAAAATACCAATACATCCGTGCTAAGTATACGGGCGACGAGAATACAAGCATTAATCGACCCCAGGGACATGCGGCGCTGCTTGGAACTAATTTATATGAAAATCTATAACAAAAACAGTGAGAGTTAGGGTAAGAAAGGTCAAGCTAAAAAACAGAGACTGGGAAAGGGTAGCATAATGATCCAAGCAGCTTTGAACTTCTCTGCAGTTTTTCTATCGATGTTCAATCTTGAACGAGTTGGAATTTACTTTCTCACAAAGGTTTTCCTCGCTTGTTTGTTTGTTTCTTTTTTCTTACTTAGGTCAAGGTGGGTATTCCAAGGAAACTGTCACAACAGTTCATGGTAAGATTATCACATTCATCGTATACTTTCAACACATCAGGTTGATGGGCGAAGTGCATATAGCTATATACACGGGACACTTTCATCATTCCTGATCCTAGCAATATGCAGAATTTATTAAAAACTGGGTAACTTAATAAGTTGCGCAACTGGCAACGAGTCTCCCTGTAGCTTAGTGACTTACTGCTTAGAGCATGTGACAGGTGTACATCAGATCATGAGTTCCACTCTTGATGTAATTTACAACTAGATTATGAGCACGAGATTTTTATGAGGTGACAGTTGATGAGGCCAAAGACCGAATAAACTATCACCTCATAGAAATCTCGAGCTCATAATCCTTTAACTGGCGATTCTTAATTACTCCTCTACGTGGTATTAACTTTCTAATTTAAGAAAAATCCGAATTTCGCGGACTGTATAGTCATTTGAAATTTACAGTTGTGTATGCGCACATCAGTTTCGAGATTTTGGCGCCAAAAAATCATGAACGTTCTTCTTTCAGTCTTTTCAGCAATTCAATTATCCATTTGTTTATAAATGTTCGTCCGAAACTTCGAAAAAATGGGGAAACATCGCCATTCCGTAGACGACCTACAGCCAATGAAAACTAATGGCTGGTAGTCGTCGTTGCAGTTGTTCGTTTCGTAAACGGTCGATGCCAATTTCGCGACACTTATAGAAATTTTTTAACTATCAACGAATTTTTCTCTACGAAATAAAAGAAAAAAGAAAATTTGTAAGTAACCACCCAGTATCGATCCCGAAACCTCTGTTTCCTAACATCCCTCTTCTACCACTACACTACCAGGTTGATCTACTAAATATCTGCAAAATTTGATTATAAAACGTGACTTTCTTAAATATTAATGATAGAGTTGCCCCAACCATCAAATAAAATCTAACCGCAAGTAAACCAGTGTCAGTATGAACAATCAAGCATTTGACGAGTGCGTTTTACTCAATCAACAAATTAAAACCAGTATCTACCTTGTCCAGGCCTATACTAAAGTAGATATGGCATCGTCCATTCTGAAAGGCTTGGTTACCAATGATGGCATCGACCGTTAAATATGGCATCGACCGTGTACGAAACGGAAATCAGCGTCGACGATAGCTCAGCTAATCAGATTGCAGCATTTGCATTAGATGATTATACGAGTAGAATTCTACTAAAACTGAATAGTTTTTGGTCTTTTTGAGAAATGTTTTAGTTGATTTATTTATGGAAAGGTTTAATATTCACGAATATCCTATTGGTTTCTTTTTTACTGCCGCAGAGTCAAGAAAACCACAAGCATTTTCTAGAGACATGAAAGCGGCGCTTCCTGATAAAGGTTGTATGTTGATTGAAATAATCTCTAAGTTTCTTGGTGAGACTGAATGGATGGTCATTAAAATCAATGAAATGATTCAAAGAATTGGTCATTCCTAATCATAAATATAGACTGAAATATTTAGCTACAATATATATACGTAGTTTTTGTTTGTTATGGTTATTTTTTACACTTGAATCCCCCCCTTTTTTTTTCTTTGAGCAGACTCCCCAGGTTGTAAAGCACCCCAGGATACTACACAACCTCTGGGAGGAGGTAATTTTTTTTCATGGTTAATGCTGGCTGTTAACTACGTTATCGCAAGGCAATAAAATAATATAATGACAGAATATAATAGTTCTTTAATATATTTCATAATGGTTATAACAGTACTTTAAAGACATGCTGAGTGCATAAAACATCCAAATAGACCGGCTCATCCATTGTGTTACACAAATAGCTAAACTCTAAGCTACATAACAGTAATAGTACCCTATCATAGCTGAGTTACCCTAACAATTAAATCCATGGTTTTGGATAGTTAAATCCACTTTGTGTTCAAGTCTTCGTTTGCTGAATGACTGCCGTATCTGACTTTGACTGTCATCTTAACAAGAGCACCAAATGTGTTATTATTTTTTTTTTGTAAGGAGGATCTCGCGCGCCAAGCTCGAGCTCAAAAGCTGGCTTTTCAAAGCAAGCCCTCGATGCACACAACAAATACCGGGCCAAGCATCATGCACCACCACTGAAATGGTCCGATGAGATTGCAAAGGACGCGCAGGCCTGGGCAGAAAAGTTGGCACGTGCCCGTAGCCTTCAGCACGCTTCTCAGTCAGAGCGTAAAGGGACTGGTGAAAACATCGCCATGTTCTCTGGGAAGTTTGAATCAGCGGGTGATGAGGCAACAAACATGTGGTATGCCGAGGTTAAGGATTACAGATTTGATAAGCCAGGTTTCCAGGGCAACACGGGGCATTTTACGCAGGTGGTTTGGAAGGAGAGTAAAGAACTGGGAATGGGTAGAGCCCAGACTGCTGATGGTCGTTTGACGTTTGTTGTGGCAAGGTACAAGCCTCCAGGAAACTTGCTGAATCATTTTCAGGAGAACGTTTTCAAAGGGTGAACTAAAAGAAAAACTCTCTTGACCCATTTAGATGTGACTCAATCCATCTGTGAAAGCATTTAAAACTCGAAATATTGAAATATTACTGATGTACTTGTCCATCTACCGAATTGCAATAGTTGTGCAGTGTAATTTTTCTCTGTATGCAGTACAGTGTGAATGTCTGGGTACAGTTTAGACCAGCAAATGTACCACTATAGTACTATAAAATTTTATATATGTATAAAAAAAGAATTAAGAAACTGTCAAAAAAAAATCAAAATACTTAAGTGCATTAAGCAGCTCCGTTCAATGGCTACATTCATAGTAATGGGCAATGTAAAGAATAAGGGAAATCAAATTGGCTGTAGGAATGTAGAGAGTAAAATGATGGAGAGTCAAAATAAATGTGCAGGGAAAGCTCGAGATGAATATGTAAACAACATCTAACATCATCGAAATACATCAGCTACATATTATCTAACCAAAATATATGGTGTTGGAAGACTGGTGACAGTAAATAATTAAAAATGGGATTTACCAAGTGAAATTTAAAAGATTACATTAAAAAAGTAGAAAGGAAAGAAAAAGATAAGAAAGAACACGGAATCATATAGATGCAATAAAAAATGAACATAATTGAAAACAATGAAAAAATGGTAGTAGCTGAGTATGTATCAATACAGGTGTTCAAAGTTGGGCAAAAATTAAATAAGACGGTCCTTGGAGCTCCTTCGAACCACAGAACTCAATGTAGTTTTTGTTGCCCGGTCTAACATGGGCATGCGCTGCATTTAATTGGGTTTATTTCGATAACAAAGAAAGACGAAAGAAATTGCTTGGATCTAATCTTTGTATCTTCACTTTTCCAACATATCTTTCTAAGAAGTTAGTTTTACTCTATTTGTTTTACTTTTAATAACCGTTACCAACTTTTCTACCATTTACAAAGTGCCGCCATAACCCACCTATCTTTGATTGTTTGTTACAAGGTATCCTCTTTAATCGATTACGAGTTACAAGCTTTGCCAAAAAGAAAACATTACAGTGACCTAAACAATTTAACAAATTGACGTCAGCTTTTCATGCGTCTGTCCTGTTATTGATCATGAATTTCGTCATAACATTGTCAAAGTAGCTGTGGATCCGCACATAACCTTTGACAAGGTTATGACGAAATTCATTGTCAATAACGGGACAGACGTATTAAAAACTGACGTCAGTTTGTTTTTTACGATAGCAAATTGTCAAATTGTCCGCCCTCGCTCGTTGACGCATCGCATAAATTATAAATTCATGTGTCTGTCC